TTGCCGACCTAGAAAATGTACAGAGAACTTTCACGGCGCGCATAACGGAGATAAAACACCTCAATTACTGGGAGCGCTTGAGGTTCCTAAACCTGTATTCCCTGGAACGCAGGAGGGAGAGATACATGATTATATACACCTGGAAAATCCTAGAGGGACTAGTACCGAACTTGCACACGAAAATCACTCACTACGAAAGCAAAAGACTTGGCAGACGATGCACCATCCCCCCAATGAAAAGCAGGGGTGTCACTAGCACGTTAAGAGACCATACAATAAGTGTAAGGGGCCCGAGACTGTTCAACTGCCTCCCAGCACACATAAGGGGGATTACCAACAGACCCCTGGCAGTCTTCAAGCTGGCACTGGACAAGCACCTAAAGTCAGTTCCGGATCAGCCGGGCTGTGGCTCATACGTTGGTTTGCGTGCAGCCAGCAGCAACAGCCTGGTTGATCAGGCTGATCCACCAGGAGGCCTGGTCACAGACCGGGCCGCGGGGGCGTTGACCCCCGGAACTCTCTCCAGGTAAACTCCAGGTATAACAAGCAGCTTTCTGTGGTAGTATGTCATTGATGTCAGCTAGGCATGTATACCTTGTACATGTACTTGTAGAAGTATATCAATAAATAAAATATTATTATTATTATAATCAAGAGAGAACACTAAACCCGTAGGATTATGTAGAATATAAATAAAATAAAAAATAAAATAAAGGAGCCTCCTAGCATCTCACACCTTCAGTTAACTCTTCATACAAGTCACTTCGACTGACATTTTTTGGGGGCAATTTACACTACATATAATTGTACTTATATGTACCTGTACCTAAATAATACTTATTTAGCATCTAACTTCAGTTACCCTTTCAAACTCTACACAACCCAGGAGGCATCACAAAGGTACCAGCTTCCTCTAGTCTTACTTCAGTTGCCTCTCATCTTCCTGGGGTAATTAATCTATTCCTCTTTTACAGACAGTGAGGGAAACAAAATGTAATCTTAATGGAGAAGTCACTCATTAGAATGAAAATTCTGAATTTTTTTATTAAGAGAGTTTATCTTTCGGGAAAAGGCCAGTGTTTTTGTTAAATATTTTGGAGAGTCGGTAGTAAGTTTTAAGGTTAAAGAATGAGAAGAAGGAATTGCATTTTGCTCTTGTGAGCTCTTGGAAAATAATTCCAGGTTGTTTGTGTATACTGCATTTCTTCCACTTTTGCTTTATTTAATTTACTTTTAGGACAATAAGTTGTTTTATTCATAATTATCGCAAAAAATTAATACTGTACTTTATATTTTTGATTACGACATTGGGGTCAATCCTACTGCCACTGTGGTCACGACAGTGACACCAGTCCTGTTGCCACTGCGGTCACAACAGTGGCACCAGTCCTGCTGCCACTGTAGCCAGAGTTGCGGTGGCTGTCATTCCTCACTGTTCCTCTAAGTATCTTTATACACATTGCCTACAGTTGTATGATGACTGCCTACTGTCTGTATCTCAGCATATGTTTTTACGCTGTCCTCTTTATCTCGTTTTATAACACTGTGGTGCTTAGATCTTATTTTTTTAACTACTAATTATGGAGCAGGCAGGGGAAAGAAGCAAGAAGAGGCAGACATGGGGAAGGGGCAAGGAGAGGGAGACATGGGGAAGGGGCAAGGAGAGGCAGACATGGGGAAGGGGCAAGGAGAGGCAGATATGGGGAAGGGGCAAGGAGAGGCAGACATAAGGAAGGGGCAAGGAGAGGCAGACATGGGGAAGGGGCAAGGAGAGGGAGACATGGGGAAGGGGCAAGGAGAGGCAGACATGGGGAAGGGGCAAGGAGAGGCAGATATGGGGAAGGGGCAAGGAGAGGCAGACATAAGGAAGGGGCAAGGAGAGGCAGACATGGGGAAGGGGCAAGGAGAGGCAGACATGGGGAAGGGGCAAGGAGAGGCAGACATGGGGAAGGGGCAAGGAGAGGCAGACATGGGGAAGGGGCAAGGAGAGGCAGACATGGGGAAGGAGCAAGAAGAGGCAGACATGGGGAAGGGGCAAGGAGAGGCAGAAATGGGGAAGGGGCACGGAGAGGCAAAACATGGGGAAGGGGCAAGGAGAGGCAAACATGGGGAAGGGGCAAGGAGAGGCAAACATGGGGAAGGGGCAAGGAGAGGCAGACACGAGGAAGGGAAAGTGTAGGGAGAAGGGCAGGCATAAGGAAAAGGAAGGGCAGGTATAAGGAGGGGAAGGATGTCAGATATGGATGGGGAGAGGAAGGATGGGCAGCCAAGGTTAGGGAAGGGCCTGATATGGGGAAAGAGAAGTTGGGACACATAGAAAATGGGAAGGAACACCCATAGGAAACGAGGGGGAGGCAAAGGGGGGGGGGGCAGCATACAAGGAAGACGAGGGAAAAAGGGAGTGAGCCACTTGGAGAGGGAGTGGTAGACATGGTAAGGAACAGACATGGGGGAGAAGTGATTATGGGGGAGGGGGCAAGGGAGGGGCAGAAGCAATAACACACCAAGCATGAAATCAGTTTCACATTGATGTCTGCACACTGAGGGAGGGAGAGATAGAGGGTGGCCTACTGAAGGAGGGAGGGAGGGAGAGATAGAGGGTAGTATACTGAGGGAGGGAGGGAGATATAGAGGGTGGCACACTGAGGGAGGGAGGGGGTGACACACGAAGTAGAGTTAGCGAGGTAAGCGACCCATGAAACATATGACCGTGTTTACATTTATTACGTAGGGTTGGCCCAACCATCCTTCCCCTCTCCTTGCTTCACAACCCACACGTCTCAATACCCACCTCTTTCCTACCTACTTACCTGCAGACTTACCTGGAGTTCATTACCTTTGTAAATTGTGAGTTCATTACCTTTGTAAATTCTGAGTTCATTACCTTTGTAAATTGTGAGTTCATTGCCTCTGTAACTTGCTCAGCTATCAAAACTTTGGAGTCCAGTCCCTGGACCAATTATGTACCTCTGTAATCTTTTGACTACCGCCCACAGGATGGGTATGGGGTGCATAATAAACATATTAAACTAAAAAACTAACTTTCCTACCTCCTCCCCTCTCCTACAACCTTCCCTCACCCCAACCCAATGCAAATATGTCACTGACTTTTTTGTGGGGTTATTCTATGTAATTTACACAAATGATACTAATAATTGTACTTATGTGGACCTATGCCTAAATAAACTTACTTAATTTGGTAGATAGCCAGAAACACCTGTTATGCCACAAGACGGGCAGCCATCAGCAATTTCACTCTGCTGTACCATTTTCAAAACATAATCTCTTCATTGATTAATGCCTTGAAAAATGGCCAACTGAGGCACCTCACAGATATTTCCAACTTCTTCATTTTCCTTCTATTTATTTGATATTAATAAAATAAACAATACAATACAAACATTAGAGGAAAGATTTAAATGGAGCTGAGCTCAGGTAACAACTCTTAACTAAACAAATAAAACCATAACCTATGTAAAAAAAAAAGAGGGAGAGAAATGGGGTTTTTTCCATGAACAATGGAATAGAGAGGATGGTGAGGGGAGGGGCTCACTGGGGCAAATGATAGGGAAGGGTGGAGGGTAATAGGAGGGGGATGTCAGGGAAAGGTAGAGGGAGAGGAATCTGTGTGAAGGTATTGGATCCTCTCTTCCCCTACACTGCAATTTATGACTTCACTTACTGTATTGTTTGCATCTGGTAAGTTGCTGAGTGGAAGCAGCGAGAAGAGGAAGGGGCAAAGCCATTAAGCTGCCAGTTTCATTTTTAATGGTGTGTATATAAACAATATATATCATTTTTTTTTTTTTTACCACATCAGCAGTCAGGGTCAATAAATGAAATAAATTTACCATCATTCATTCAATAGCTGTCTTGTCTTTGCCTAAAATGATGAGGCATCACAACTCAAATGACAATGGAGTGCAACATCCCCACTCATACCTCCATAACCGAAGTTCTACCGAGTTTTCTGAATACCTTTATAAGTGTTATCTTACATTCAAACAACACATCAAATCCTTAAAAACCACTTGTCTCCACTCACTCCAATCTAACACACACATGCTTGCTGAATGCTCAAGCTCCTACCACTCACCCCAGATTTATACATCATCTTAGTCACCCTATCCTTTCTAAATGACCAAGTTATCTTAACAACTTCTCTTATGCTCTCTGAATACCTTTCATACTACCACATCTAATTTCTTTACTCTTCATTCTCTGCATATTTACATCACACGTTGATCTCAAACATGACATATCCACTGCCTCCAGTTGCCTGTTCCTCGCTGCAAGAAAGACCATGTCTCATGCCCACTATACCACAACACCACTATATTCTGGTATATACCTTGTCCTTCTACTAATAAATTTCTTTCTTTTCATAAACCCCTCAATACACCACCACTGTTTTTTCCCTCATCTTTCAAACACCCATCAGCCAATAGATTCACTCCCAAATACCTAAATATATTCACTTCCTCCATACTTCCCTCTGACTTTTTACTGCCTAGGCTTTTTCTTACTGTATTCTTATTACCTTCCTCTTTTCTATAATTATCTTTATCTTCCTTTTTTTTTTTTACAGATTTCAGAATTTCTTCACATACCTTCACAACTTATATTCTGAATCTCCCAGAAGCACTGTGTTACTAGCAAGGAGCAACTATGACAACTCCCACTTCACATAAGATTAACTATCTTTCAACTGGGCACCTCTTTTGAATATTATCACTCACTTCTTTTACAATCTTATCTATAAAAATATTAAACTACCAGTATTATCACACTTGCTAAAAGCCTCCTTTTATTGACAAATACTGCCCTTCTCTTCTAAATGTAGTATAGTACATACATGTATATGTACTCTAATCCGAGTCTCACTATCAGTTTAATTCCCTAGGATGAAATTATTATTATTATTATTATTATTATTATTATTATTGTTATATTTAATTGTTACAAGATGAAGTGTAAAAGGTTGCAAGACAATTAAGGAATCCCTTTAATATAACAATATTTATTGTGAAGAAAGAATTAACTGGTAGGACAAATGTGCAACAGAATTGAGTGAAGTGACACAACACTATACAGCTCATGAATATACATGAGCCAGATATCTCAGTATGGAAGAATCAATTATCTTAAGAGGGAAAGAACGAAGTTTAAAGTGCAGAGAAGCTTGAGTCAAGAAACTAGCTTAAAATGTACTATGTATGCCAGAAAAAAAAAAAGTTGTTTGAGATATAAAATGCTTACAAGATTTTCTATAAAAAATAATTTGATATTTGCTACTCATTATTGTTAACATTCTAAGAATTATAATCTACAAAAACACTTGTTTTTAAATAACATTTACTATAAAAGAAAGAACATTGATACTGATTAAAAAATTGCGTACATTAATAATGTTGTGTGTAAGTATTATATGAAACTACAATGAAGTGCTGTATTTAAGCTTTTAATCAAATCTAACTGATTAGTAAATCCACTCATCCCTGAGCTACTTTAATAACTCCCCAGATCAGTTAGTACTGGGAAATGCATGCATGATAATCTAAATGTATAACAGGAAATTTCAAAATACTTTGTGCAACTTTTCTTAGCAAGAACAAACTAAAAATATACGAGTTACTGTTCCAATTAATTGTACATAAGCAGCCTCAATTACATCTAATTAGAGTACCATAACTAGTATGAAATTCCTTTTTTTATATTTGATATAACTAGGCACATACACACCTTTACAAATTGAGTTTAGGCACTATAGTTTTTAGCTACTTTTACAAGCAAAGTATGAATATATGTGTATTTTAAAATCTATATCACAGTTTCCATAAAGCAGGTAAATTTGATCTGTTATGGAGAGACTTGAAATTTTAAAATCATATAACTTATACTGTATACTGCATATGAGTAACAGAAGGATAGAGAATTCAAATCACATTATTCTCATTCGTCAAGTAAGCATCTCTACAACTGAACTGTATAGTCAAGGAACGTCAAGCATCAGTACTTTACTAAACAGTAAGTTAAGACAATTACACAAAATATTAAACAACGAGACACAGGTTAGACCTGTTATATCTATTATAGTTTCTTGGATAAAATTAAGTAATCAACTTCATAAATATGTACATCCCTTCATTTAATACTTCAAAAAAAATTTGTAGTAAATTCTTAGAATAACCTGTAGGGTTTACATATCTTGTTACTATTCAAAATAATTAAAAATAAAAGACAATAAATATTTTCCATGAAGTTACATTACAAGAATGTGTAAAAACACTGCTTATTTTCATTGCTGAAAGCCCATAATTATGCACAGCACTTTTTTAAGTAAACCATATATGAAAAATATTTTGGGGGGATTATATTTTGCACTGTTATCTCAATGCCATGAATAAGTTGATCATCATAAGTGTAATAATTATGACATTCTCAGTAATGTAACTAGAGCTTCAACAGTAAGTTACTCCAGTATTAGTAAAATGCTTCAGATATTTCTTGTATCTTTTGCTATTAACTTCAAATGATTCTATAGTACATGCTTTACACTGCCATAATATAAGAACATAAGAATGGAGAAACACTGCAGAAGGCCTACTGGCCCATACTTTTGGTGAAATATTACTAAAAGTATACAACATAACTAATAACTAACTATCAGATTTACTATGTATTAGTATGACAAGGACTGAACCATTACATGTATATATCTATGTGTATAGATTGCCTGTTTACAATCTCATTACAAAAAATCCATTAGCTTACCCCTTATGTCCTATCAAGACATTAATGTATTTTTAGACTGATATTTAAATACTGTCAGCAATATACTGGGTATGTTGCCTAGCTCAGAGTAATTACTATTTTACTCTTCTTTGAGAAATAAGGTATGCAATGCCACACATAACTTCGGTTGAAATGTCACATTTTTTTTTTTTTTATCACACTGGCCGATTCCCACCGATTATTTAATTTTTTATGTGGTGACCTGGTAAGCTAGCAGAAGGCCTCTTTTCAAATGACCAAAATTATTATCACATTCATGGGAGGAATGCACCTGGCAGAGCAAGGATAATCAGGTTGAATCTAGGGATGGGAAGGTTAGGTCCAGCTCCTTAGATCAAAAGCCCCTCATTCACATCAAGTATCTTCTCTTGGAAAACAAACACTCCACAGAATAGTTCATCACATGACAGACTCACATCAGGCAAAAATTTTCCCATATCCCCTGACAATGAAAATAATCCCCCATTACCAGAGAGCAAAACTGGTCCAGCATGGAACATTTCTAAAAAGGAATAAATCACAAAAATCACTCAGATCTTTTGTTTTGACTAAACTCATTGCCCATTATATTTAGTTATTATAACAACTTAAGAAATGCTGATTTGAGAGTAGCAATCCCATTAGAAAATACAGTATTATGCAAGCTTCTAAACTTTTATGTAAATATATACACTACATCTATTTATATTAAAATAATTTTTTAAAGAAGTCAACAATATTTACATGCCTCACTACAATATATCATAGAAAGACTAATGTACAGTGCTAGAATTATAGCTGTGTTATTCTATAAAAATTCTACATTAAGATTCGTCTATTGTCTCCAGGATTAAAAGTCTACAATTTACAAAAAGTTATTAAATAATTATTAAATTTTAACAAATTACATTATATAACATTTATTCACTATCAAATTTTATATAGTATCTAAAAAAATATACACAAAAAATAATACAAAATAAAAATTTTCTAATCTGAAACTAAACAAATACTACAAGACTCATACCATATATCTCATGAGTAATATAGGGGTTACTCATATTTTAGGGTAAAACTGAACAATAATGAAGACTACACTTGTAATGTACTGTTTTTTTTATTTGGCTTTGAATATACACAGTTCCCTTTTCTCATGTATATTTCAACTCAGAATAATTCTTCATTTCCCTAATTATTATCACTGAAGGCACCCTTCTCATATGGGATACAATTTTGTATTCACCCCATTGTAGGTTGTATAGCAACACTTGTCCTACAAGTATCTTTTCTGGCAGTAAATTAAACAGTACAAGGGTTCTTCCTTTATAGTCTCCATTTCTTTTCAATTTCACAAAAAAATAGTCACTGTACCATTTAATTTTCAACCAGAAGCTATACAGTATTCTACCTAAGAGATGTAATGTACATATATATGATGTTCCTGATGTGGCAGTTAGGACAGGTGTAAATACATATTCATAATTCATAGCAGGTAGGAAAGGTGCTGCTACACAAAACCTAAAACGGGTAAGACAGATACCATACATAAAACCAAAAAACACAAGACACCAGACCTAGAAGTGGTGTCCTGCCAGATCTGGTTGCTTTTACTGGAAACAATTACTGTAGGAAAAAACTGAATAAGTAATTCTGAGTGAAGCATGCATAAGAAAGAGCAACTGTTCATTGTCAAAAACCCAGCTCAAAAATATAATATAATATAGCATAAGTGGTGGAAGAACCCTTAGTGATTTTATTAGCAGCCAAATGAGCATAAACAGGGAATTGGAGAAATATGATCCATAAGGATTCCACCAGTGTGTAAGGCAGCTGAGTGGAGAGAGAGAGAGACACCAGAGGCTTCATTCTAGAGGCCATCATACCAGAGCTCACACACAAGAGATATGGCAAAGTAGGATATTAATGTATTTCCTTTTCCCCCTTACCATCCTCCTGATAACCAGTACATATATAGTACATACAAGGGCCTGTGTGTGGCTAGCACCAAGTCTGGCTGATCACACCATCCATCAGGAGGCCTGCTCTGGGACTGGAGGACACTGATTCCCAAAACAACCTCCAGGTAACATCTTCACATAACCCACAGCATCCCAAATCCCCATTTAATACCACCCCACCCCTCTTTCTCCTTCCCATCCACTTCTATGTCAATAAAGTTACCCCCATTCTCACCCATCCACTTCCCTTCACTCCAGGGAAGTGGGGAAACTAGGCAGTATTATTATTGATGATGATGATGATGATGATGATGATGATGATGATGATGATGATGATGATGATGATGATGATGATGATGATGATGATGATGATGATGATGATGATGATGATGATGATGATGATGATGATGATGATGATGATGATGATGATGATGATGATGATGATGATGATGATGATGATGATGATGATGATGATGATGATGATGATGATGAGATGATGATGATGATGATGATGATGATGATGATGATGATGATGATGATGATGATGATGATGATGATGATGATGATGATGATGATGATGATGATGATGATGATGATGATGATGATGATGATGATGATGATGATGATGATGATGATGATGATGATGATGATGATGATGAGCACTCAAGAGGTTTTGTTGACCATTCATATGGTATTTACAAGTCAAGCCATGTATGCCTCAGTTCAAGTGAAATACAAGTGAAAAATAAAATATATACCGGTATGTATTTGTATGTATGCCCAATCATACAATCTAGGCTGGACTGTATCTTTATTTATATATACTGTATATTTATTTATGTATGTATATATTTCTTCTTTCTTTCTTTCAACACCGGCCGTATCCCACCGAGGCAGGGTGGCCCAAAAGGAAAAACGAAAGTTTCTCCTTTTTCATTTAGTAATATATACAGAAGGGGTTACTAGCCCCATGCTCCTGGCATTTTGGTCACCTCATACAACACGCATGGCTTACAGAGAAAGAATTCTGTTCCACTTCCTCATGGAGGTAAGAGGAAATAAACAAAAACAAGAACTAGTAAGAAAATAGAAGAAACCCAGAGGGGTGTGTATATATATATGCCTGTACATGTATGTGTAGTGTGACCTAAGTGTAAGTAGAGGTAGCAAGACGTACCTGAAACCTTGCATGTTTACGAGACAGAAAAATGGACACCAGCAATACTACCATCATGTAAAACAATTACAGGCTTTCGTTTTACACTCACTTGGCAGAACGGTAGTACCTCCCTGGGCGGTTGCTGTCTACCAACCTACTACCTGTAATGTATATATTTATGTATTTAATATTTATTTATTTTTAGGATGACAAGACACATCACTCAAAGTTCTACCATTCACTAAATTATTCATAAAATTAGTTTTCAGGAGCTCTAACTATGGGCAAGACTACATCCATGTACTCATCCATGCAGTTACTGGCCACACCCAGTGATGCTTAACCATGCAAGTCATCCACTTGCTATGCTTTAATGTCAACTATACCTCTATTGCACTCAAGATCAACTAATGACCTTGCTACAAGATTAAAGTCAAGTAAAATTATGAGTATTATAAAGTATATTTCTTCCTTCTTTCAACACACCGGCCGTATCCCACTGAGGCAGGGTGGCCCAAAAAGAAAAAATGAAAGTTTCTCCTTTTACATTTAGTAATATGTACAGAAGAGGTTACTAGCCCCCTTGCTCCCGGCATTTTAGTCACCTCTTACAACACACATGGCGTATGGAGGAAGAATTCTGTTCCACTTCCCCATGGAGGCAAGAGGAAATAAACAAGAACTAGAAAGAAAATAGAAGAAAACCCAGAGGGGTATGTGTATATATGCTTGTACATGCATGTGAAGTGTGACCTAAGTGTAAGTAGAAGTAGCAAGACGTATGTACCTGAAATCTTGCATGTGTATGAGACAATAAAAAGACACCAGCAATCCTACCATCATGTAAAACAATTACAGGCTTCCGTTTTACATTCGCTTGGCAGGACGGTAGTACCTCCCTGGGCGGTTGCTGTCTACCAATCTACTACCTAGATAAAGTATATTTATATACAGTTAATGATAAATGAACTTATGTGACCTTTTCAATATGGATCAATATTTTCACACCATTTAGTTGAACATAAATTAATCCTATTACAGATAACTGATTATCTGGTGATCAGTTATTTGGCTTCCAGGATAATTTGGTGGTCTTCTTCAATCCAACACCTAAACAGAAAATTAAAATAAAAAAATGTGCAAAACAAATGGACCATTAGAAAAGGAATCATTTGGTCTTGTTGACAATCTGGTTCACCATTCCCTAAAGCAGCTAGTTAATACTCTCCTATATACAAAATTCATGTGAGTATGATACAGTATTGCATTTTAAAATTCCCTTTTTTTTTAATGCATTGGCCATCTCCCACTGAGGCAGGGTGACCAAAAACAGTAATGTATACAGAAGAATGGGTTACTAGCCACCTACTTCCTGCATTTTAAAATATTGTATAATAAAAGAATAATTCAACTACTGGTAATAGTGAGATAGTCACCATAATTTTAAGAGATTCTCAAACCAAAACTAGACATTACTTGCAAGTCTTGAGTCATGAAATTGTGATAACATAATTGTAAACAACACGCAGAAAGGGTGATATTTGATCCCATGACACGCCAGTCCTAAAACCAGCAGGCCAGTGTGTTAACTACTGTTCCATGCAAGCCTAAACAATTCATCTAACTAGATACATCTGTACTGTTATATTTCTGTCTTAGTATCCCAGCATGGATCCACTGTGACCACAATGCAGATTTTTAGATGAATCTCACACCAACATGGCTGTGGCAAGCTGTAACTCAAGCCCCATCAAAGCCAGTAGGGTGAGACATATACATATATTGATGTCATATGTTCACATACTGGTGAATAATAAACAGGCACCTAGAGCAGGTGTTAACTGACTACTGTGTGTCATGCCCTAAGGAGTGACAAACAGTCCTATCTTAGATAGGACTGGGTTTTGAAATAACCTGAGGAAGGATAACAGCCTGTAAATTACATGGTAAAAAAAAATGTTGGTTTATTAATCCTGGAAAGATATAAACCCAAAATAAATAAAGGATGCCAAGCAATGTGGCTTATATCCACTTGAACCCATATATGGTAGGTCATCCTCAAGGATGTGGCCCAAAAGCTGACCAACTCCTAGGTATCTATTTACCACTAGATGAGTTGAAGCAGCAGGTGTTAAAAGACTTGCAAAATATATTTTGCCCCAACCAGGATTGAATCTGGGTCCTTTCAGTTGTGAGATGAATGCTCTACCACTGAGCTACCCAACATCTTGATTCAATACTTGTTTTAAATTTTGTCTTACCTACATCAACTATTAACATCTTTGTCTTGTACCACAGCAGCTATAAAAGCAAGTCATCTTGTCACAATATCAGCTGACAATTTTGTCTCAAATGACAGGTAAGGCAGATACACATCTCATAGGTAATACAGTATAGTATAGTTTGCACAGTATATATGAGATGCATATATATTTTTGTTATTTTTTCCAAAAGAGCAAAAGCATTTTTTGCACTTTCATTTTCCATTTTGATTATACAGTATGTGTGTTTTTATTTATTTTGCATTTTGATAATACTGTTTATATACCAGCACTGTATAAAATGTACATATAAAAAGGCAGAGGTGAGAGCTAAATCACTCCCTTAAAACACTATAGCAAATTTTCACTATTTATAATTATACACATTCTTTGAAAGGAGCAGTACTAATATGTATCCTGTTTGTGTAAACCAAACACACATACAATATACTGGATATATAAAGTAAATCCTAAAATATGAGTGTTATTAAGTATGAAGCAAAATTCAGTAAAGAGCAGGGTGATAGAGCTCTTATACTGTAATATTATATCTATATAATGTTCATATCACTTCAAAGCTGTGCATTCAATACTTTTAAATGCTAAAATTTTTTATCCACATTCCTGGTAAAACATATTACAAAAATTTAAAATGCTGTACATACCAATAATAAAAAGCATATTAAGTGAATAGAGTAGAGCCTGCAGTACACTTCCTGAATGAGGGCACTAGTGAGATGACATATCAATTAGTGACTTCTTGTTGAGGTTGGCTATTGAGTCTGCAATAACAGCTGCTGTCACACGCTGGTAGCCTCCACTGGTTAACATGACAATTGGGATACTTCGCTGTCGTACCTTTTGAAATACTATTTCATCCCTTTCAATAATACCCTGGAAATACAGTGATAAATCAACTAAATATATTTCTCATTTGAAAGGGAATGTACATCATTTATTTCTTAAATTTTATACTTAATGTTTATATACATACTTCAATAACCATAAATATTATTTGTTACTCATTTACTTGAAAACTATGTAAAGAATAGTTCAATCTTCAGAGAAAAATGTTTCTTGGGAAATAACAGTGATGAAACCCACCAGTAATGGTGTTTCATTAATTCTGCGAGTGACACATGAAAAGTAATGCCATGGGAACTATCACAATAAAGAACGCTGTCACACTATTCTGGTATTCAAGGTAAAAACAGTGGAAAAGCAGAACTATGTTACCTCATGATCTTGACTGAATAATAAATTTAAGAGATAAAAAAAAAATCCATCTTTTTTTTTCTTTCTTTTACCAGTGGCCATTTTCTGACAAATAGGACAACTTGCCAGAAGTGCATATATAATTTAGGCATTTTAAACATTTTGCAAATGGCACATTACATGAAGGTTCAAGGTATTTTATATAATTTAGTAATAAATATTTTAGATTTTAATATAAGATCCAATTTTTCACTGGCTAATTTTTTTTTCTGTCAGGATGAATAATTCCTGAACTTCTCTGTGGAAAGACTTTAATGAAACTAGGATGGAATAGCTAAAGAAGAACAAATTATGGATATTAAATACCATTAGAATAGGCATACAGGGATGACTCTTAGCTGTATATGTTGAAAAAATAAAATAAAATTGCCACATACCTGTTTGGAAACAGAGAGGAGACCTAAACAGTCACCCTCCATTATGTCAGTTCCAGCATTGTAAATCACCACTTGGGGATTAAACTCATTGAGGGCTCCTTCTACATGCCTGTAATTGAAGATCTGGTGTATGTATTCTTCTGTTCTAACACAGTATGGTAAAACAATATATAAGGTGTTGTGCAGCAGAAATAAATAAGTACTACCATGGCCAAAATCTGGGTTATTGAACAAATTGTTTCCTTACTGTTCCATCTCTTATTAGGAATGTTTACATATTCTATTCTGCATCTGTAAATTAGGCTCAGAGCCCCATAAAAAGTAATGATAATGAGAGCTTCATTACTCTGATCTCTCTCAGCCTGCATTTTTCTCAGTCTTTTGAATTTATCACTCATTCTTTTCTACTGTGCAAAGCCTCATATATGCATTATTTTCCAAATTACATTTTTGCCATGTAACATATTTCCTTCTAGTTACAATAAATTATTTACTATTAAAGTTAAAAAAAATACACATTAAACTTAAGTTTTTAACCCAGCAACTTCGCTTAAATTAAAAAATTTTGTGCATTCTCTCCAAGATATTCTCTTAAGAGAGTATCCTCAGGGAAAGGGACATAAAGGCATTCACTTTGGACACCTTTATTGAGGACTTTTCAGCCCTTGGACTCTGATCATTTCAAATACATCCAAGGTCCGAAATGTCTTTAAACCTTAAACTGTCCAAACGTAGATCTACGTTTTTTCAACATCTGAAAATATGTAAAAAAACTTAGTTTTTTTTTTTACATTTGAAAGCATTTTAAAAAAAACTTTGATCTACGTTTTTTTTATATTTGAAAATGTGTAAAAAACATAGATCTACTTTTGGAGCACTACGCATGTGAACGTACATCTATGTTTGGACAGTTTAAGGGTTAGTAAAGGCATTTTAAGTGAGTGCATTTGTGTCCATATTCCTTAAGTCACTGCCAGCCATTTGCCTTCTTACTACAAAGAATCCTCAATTAGAACCTTACCTAAACACTTCACCCCTCCACTTACAGGTTTTTTGAAGGAAAACTTGAAATCACTTGCTGTAAAATTTTGTATACAGCAGTCACTGGCACAGAGATATAGACAGTAGTTACTTCCACAGAGGTATAGAAAGCAGTCACTTGCACAGAGATACAGACCACAGTCACTTGCACAGAGATACAGACAGCAGTCACTTGATAAAGATTTTATTTCTTTGCAAAGGTTACAATGTGTAATTATAATTTTGATTTGTTAAGTACAAAGAAAGCCACTAACATGCCGGGGCATTTTGAACAGACAGATATACAGACAGTAGTCACTTGTAAAGAGATACAGACAGCAGTCACTTGTGCAGATATAGACAGCATTCACTTGCACAGGCACTATATGACCTCTATGGGGTTTAGCACTCCCCTGATAAAAAAAAAAAAGTGGAATAAAGGCACAGACTAGATACTCTAAAACTAGACGGGATATGACCGATATACAAATACATAATAACTTACGTAGTAACTCTTTCAAGATAGTCCTCATCTTCGGTGTATGCAAAAAGTTCAATCTTACGGCTAATTGCTTTTTTTGCATATGTGTCATTAGGATATATATACTTGTTATACATATCAAGGATGTAGATATCCTTACGTCCCATGAAGTCCCGCTCGTGGCCATTACCCTGTTGACACGAGATGATGGTTAAAAAAATAAAAATTAACGAGGTATAGCAGTTAGCCATTACCCAAACCACTAAACATTCAAAGCTAGTGCAGAGCTTAAAAATAGAGTAATGTACTGTATAGGGCATATCACCCAGCACAACTTCGAATGAAATTTTTTTTTTTTTTTCAACAAGTCAGCTGTCTCCCACCAAGGCAGGGTGACCCAAAAAGAAAGAAAATCCCCTAAATGAAAATACTTTCATCACTCAACACTTCCCCCTCACACATAATCACTGTTTTTGCAGAGGTGCTCAGAATACAACAGTTTAGAAGCATATACGTATAAAGATACATAACATATCCCTACAAACTGTCAATATCCCAAACCCCTCCTTTAAAGTGCAGGCATTGTACTTCCCATTTCCAGGACTCAAGTCCAGCTATATAAAAATAACGGTTTCCCTGAATCCCTTCACTAAATATTACCCTGCTCACACTCCAACAGCTCATCAGATCCCAAAAACCATTCGTCTCCATTCACTCCTATCTAATACGCTCATGCACGCTTGCTGGAAGTTCAAGCGCCTTGCCCATGAAACCTTTACCCCCTCCCTCCAACCTTTTCGAGGACGACCCCTACCCCGCCTTCCTTCCCCTACAGATTTATATGCTCTCCATGTCATTCTACTTTGATCCATTCTCTCTAAATAACCAAACCACCTCAACAACCTCTCTTCAGCCCTCTGACTAATACTTTTATTAACTCCACACCTTCTCCTAATTTCCACACTTCGAATTCTCTGCATAATATTTACACCACACATTGCCCTTAGACAGGACATCTCCATTGCCTCCAACCGCCTCCTCGCTGCAGCATTTACAACCCAAGCTTCACATCCATATAAGTGTGTTGGTGCCATTATACTTTCATGTATTCACTTCTTTGCCTCCAATGATAATGTTTTTTGTCTCCACATATACCTCAACGTACCTCAACACTACATAAAAATGTGGGAGAAAGGAGGACAAGAGAGGCAATATTCATTACAGTAAACATTTTTCTCTCTAAAACATATTCTGGTACTGTATAAGAAACCTTGAACCATTCTGAAATTTTCTTATTACCTGATGTGCATCTAGATCGATGATCATAACTCTCTCAATGTTGGAATAGTGGTTGAGGATGAAATGCACTGTGAGGGTAATGTCAGCGTATGCACAAAACCCGCCACCTTTATTTCCCCAGCAATGGTGAAATCCTCCTCCAACATTAATTGACCAGCCACGCTCAACAGCCAGTTTTCCAGCCAAAACACTCCCTCCAGTTTGATACCTGAGGAGTTAAAAAAATAAAACAGAATTTTCTAAATAACACTTTTTCATTAATGGCTAAACTGAGTGAGTTTTGGCTTACAAGAAATAATAAATAAAGCTGAAACTTTACAAATTATTATTTTAATATTAATGAGAAAGCATTTAAGTTGACAATACAAAAATGTGAAGAATATTTCAAATTCATTTAATATTATACAGTAGTACCTTGACTTACGAGTTTAATTCGTTCCGTGACCCAGCTCATAATTCAATTTACTCTTATATCAAATCAATTTTCCTCATTGAAATTAATTACAATGCCATTAATCCGTTCCAGCCCCCCCAAAAAAAAAAAAAAATTTTTTGTTACAGATTTTTAAATAAGAAAAATGTATTTATAAATAAGAAATGATTTTTGCCTTTTTTGCCAGGTCCAAGTAATGTTTTAGAAATGTTGGAGTATATATGAAACTCCTTGAAGCACTGTGTAAGATGAGTGTCGCTCCACTGCTGACAGTGCAGCAATGGTGACATCTGATGATTGTGCACTGCCTTGGCTTTATTGTTCACTGTTACACATAAACATGTCTGTTTATCTGTTTGTTTCTGTCTATCTGCTTGTTTCTATCTATTTGTCTATCTGTCTGTCTGTCTAGCTCTGTCTGTATATATCAGTCTCTGCTTATCTGTCCTTCTGTCTTCTTGTCTCTCTACTTGTCTCTCTGTCACAGAGAGAGAGCCGCTCATGAACCAATAGGTATTACACATGATGCAGAGTCATCACCTCTGATTCCTGAACAAGTGAAAATGTGTATTACTTGCTAGTCATGCTTATTATGCCTTATATCTATAAGCATAGTATAGCACTGTGTCTGGATTTTCTGGGTTATCCTAGGTAATTTACATTATAACTGTATTTATGTGTACCTGTGAGATAGAGACAGATAGACAGAGACAGACAGAGATAGACACACAGATAGACATAGATAGATACAGACAGACAAAAGGAGATAGAGACAGCCAAAGCAAATCAGCCAGCCAGCCAGCCAGCCAGCTGGCCACCCAACCAGCCAGCCTGCTGAACATGTATTACACATGTTCCAGAATTGTTTCTCTTTAGTTACAGCATATGTTATAGAACATTCTGGTAGGATGACACTACCAGTGGTATCAAAATTGAGAGGACGTGGCACATTGGTTATTATCGAGGTTTTTGATATTTCCTCAGTATCTCCTGCGAGTGGCGGCGTATCTGAAGCTCACACGTAACTCGGATTTTGGTTCGCAACTCAAAGCAAAAAATCGACCAAGTGACAGCTCATAACTCGGAAAACTCGTAAATTGGGGCACTTATAAGTCAAGGTACCACTGTAAATAGAATACAAGTGCATTAAGCTTACGTTAAATATGCATGAAGCTAACAGAATATAGTGATTAACTAATTGTCAACCAAAATATACTGCTGTATGGTATATGCTTAGTTTATGAAAGTAAGCTTTTTTTTCAGATGGGAGTAAATTTATATAAGTAAGTGTAAAAATAGCAAAATACATGATAATGCAAGGTAAAGAAAATGCTCCTGTTAATTTGCCTTGTCATCAATGCTGTAAAACCAGATTTCTTACAGATATGGGTTGAAACAGTAAGTGGCCTATCTAGGATTGCTGTAGATCTATGATCTGTGATAAATTAAAATTATGGCATGCCATCGTTAATATTTTCAAATCAGTATGACTATACGCTATTCCTGTGCATTCATTACACACACATTTACATACTACACTCCCTTATAGTTTCATGGGTTTTCTTATTCACAGATTTCAATTATTCAACTCTTATTCTGATAAGTAACCTGCTAATGGATTCAATTATCCAACTATTTTGGCTCCTTAACTTTCCCATGCTTAAGTCTCTTTTCCTTCTGGTCATTATTTCTTACGAATGTCAATTTTAACCAAATTAAAGTGACATATTACAGACATATACAGTGGACCCCCGGTTAACGATAGTTTTTCACTCCAGAAGTATGTTCAGGTGCCAGTAGTGACCGAATTTGTTCCCATAAGGAATATTGTGAAGTAGATTAGTCCATTTCAGACCCCCAAACATACGCGTACAAACGCACTTACATAAATACACTTACATAATTGGTCGCATTTGGAGGTGATCGTTATGCGGGGGTCCACTGTATTATCTAAGAGCACAAAATAAACCTAAATCTGAAACAAAATTTATTTTGCACACTTTTCTTTCTTCAACACATTGGCCGTCTCCCACCAAGGCAGGGCTTTTAGTTTTGTGGGACCTCTAGGAACATAACTCCCATCAAATTTGTGAATTTGCACAGCTGACTGCATTCTTTTACATTTTATATTGTTTTGCAATATGACTCAACCTACCTGAATGGCTTCAGGACTCTCTTTTGTAGAACCATATTGGGTAAAAGTGCTGCTGGTGCAACTTCAGTTATTTTAGCTACATTGATACTCCACTGAAAAACAGAAACAGTGACTTTATTAAAACAGTTTCAGCCAGCTTGAAATCTATGTTAGAAATAGATGTACAGTATTTGGTTATCTGGAGAGGTATTCCCTGCCCCTGATAACTCCTACCTCATTAACCCCTCCCTCCTCTCCTAACAAAATAACAATCATACAAGAAAGTACAGGAAAGTAGCTATAGCTAAAAACTTTCTGGGTAACCAAGTTTAACCAAGACTAGAAAACACATGTAGATTTAAGGAGTAGATATAATAAGTTTAAGTTTTTTCATTAAGTGCTGCTTCAATGTATAATAATCAAACTGTTAAAAGCTTCTGCAAACTAAAAAGCTGCAGCATATTTTTAACCATTTCAGGGTCCAGAGGCCAAATTTCAAAGTGTGCACCAGGGTTCAAGAATTTAAAAAAAAAGTTATTTTTTCTTATGAAATGGTAGAGAATCTTTTTCTGAAGGTAATAAAACAAAAAGTAAAAAGTACAAAATTTGATGGAAAACTGACGAAATTATGCTCTCACGAATTTTGATGTGTCAGCGATATTTATGCACTGGCAATTTTGCCAAATTTGACTCTCATTTTAGGCCAATTACATTATTCCAGTAGACCAAATTCTTAGCTATTTCACTAGTATTACTTCTATTCTATCAATTGAGCACAAGAAATCGCCATGCCAACTGTTTCAACTACAAAATAAAGTGATCGGAAAATGGTAATTTGGCCAATTTAACGCAAAGTTCCAAGTATTCCAATTTCAAAATAGTGTCCAGAATAAACAATGCAGGCATTCCTGGCATTAAACTAACATTTCCTCTGTTCATTAGTTACATTTTGAGGCTTTACAAATGAATTCCATTTTGATTTTTTATTCACATAATGAATTTTTATTCAAACTAAAAAATAGAAGATTTACTGTCATGCAATATTGTAATAATTGTATAAATAATATCATCACATTTGTGAACGTATATTAGACCCACCAGCTGGTGTGTATTAGACGTGTGAGGTCATTTGTTTACTCTTGAACATCGGCAAAAATTTAACATTTCCTCTACTTTGAGCTCAGTTTCAACCATTTCCAGTACTAAAACCAATCAAAATCATCTCAATTTCTGTAATATATCTTTCATTCTATCAAATGAGACCAAGAAATTGCAAATACAACTATAAAAAACATATGAAAAAACACTGCAAAGTCATTGTTTTAATCGAAAATTACGGTCTCAGTTTTTTCCTCATTATGCACTGTGTGCTGCAGGATTTGTTATATGTGGTGCACACATACCACATAGATGTATTCTCTCATATCCAGGCCCAAATTTACCGCTCACATCTTATCAGAGTGAGCTGAGTTCATGGCATAGTTCTATGGTTTGGACCCTCATCTCAAAGCCATAGATCTATGGCACGGACCCTGAAAGGGTTAATAAAATATAGTATTAACCCTTTGAGGGTCAACAGGCCCTCTCCGAGACTTGTTCTCAGGGTCAGCCAAATTTAAAAAAAAAAAAAAATATTTTTTCTTATGAAAAGATAGAGAATCTTTTCCCGATCATAATGACACCAAAAGTATGAAATTTGATGGAAAACTTATGGAATTATGCTCTCGCGAAGTTAGCAGTCTCGACGATGTTTACGCAGCGGCGATTTTGCCCATTTTGAGCCCTATTTTCGGCCAATTCCAATGTATTATTCGACAGAAATCACAACTATTTTGCTAGAACTCCGTTTTTTCTATCGAATGAGTACAAGAAACCACCCATTTACCAATTTCAACTATCCAATAAAGTGGTCAGAATTTAGCAATTTTGCCAATTTCACACAAATTTCAAAAGATGCCAATTTCCGAATAGGGTCCAGAATAAACAAGAAAGACATTCCTGGCACTAAAATAACAAGTTCTCTGTTCGTTAGTCACATCCCCAGGCCCCTCTTATATTTTTTTGGCTTTCCACTTTGAATTTTTATTCTTACAATAAATAGAAGATTTACTGTTATGCAGACTACTGCATTAGTGTAGAAATGGTATAAATAATATCAGCGCACTTGTGAAAGAATATCAGACTCACCAGTTGACGTGTATTGGACGCTTGGCATGATTTGTTTACTTTTGAACTTTGATAAAAATCGAACATTTCTGCTACTTTGCACTCAATTTCAAGGTACTTTTCATTGTAAAACCAGTCAAAATTATCTCAATTTCTGTAATATGTCTTCCATTCTATAAAATGAGACCAAGAAAACTAGAATACAACAATAAATACCATACGAAAATACAGTGCAAATTCGCTGTTTTATTCCAAAAACATGGTCGAAGTTTTTTTTTTCTCATTACGCACTGTGTGCTGCAGGATTTTTTTTATACTGCGCACACTGACCACATAGACCCATTCTTTCATATGTAGGCCTACCAGCTTTCTCTCACTAGATTTGAGGGTGCTAGAATTTAGGCGTACTAGTACGTCAAAAACCCTGGGTCGTAAGCCGTACTAGTGCGGCCGAAACCCCCAAAGGGCTAAATATTACAATTATTTTTTTTTATTAACACACTGGCCGATTCACACCAAGGCAGGGTAGCCCGAAAAAGAAAAACTTTCACCATCATTCACTCCATCACTGTCTTGCCAGAAGGGTGCTTTACACTACAGTTTTTAAACTGCAACATTAACACCCCTCCTTCAGAGTGCAGGCACTGTACTTCCCATCTCCAGGACTCAAGTCCGGCCTGCCGGTTTCCCTGAATCCCTTCATATAATTAATACCTCTATAATGTCTCTTTCAATTGAGAGGAATGAAATTCCTTACCTTAAGACTTCTTAGATAAGAAGCTGAGTGAACCAGTCTAAGGTCTGCCTCTGTAGCTTCATTGGGAGTGACTAGATTTATGCCTTTCAACAGTTGCTTCTTCTTTAAATTCTGAAAAAAGACAGACTCTTCAAGACATATTAATTAAAAAATTGGTAGAAATATTTAAACGGGTATGTTTTTGGGCATGTACAGGTGTGTGCAATTATTTATTCATAATTACTTCAACAATATTTTTAGTTACCAGAATATTGCAAATACTAAATGCATGTGGTGTCTATTCTTTAATTAATTTATCTATGAGAGTTAACTTTCCAGTGGTTAACCCCTTCAGGGTCCAAGGCCAAAACCTGAAGTGGTGCCCCAGTGTCCAAGAATTTAAAAAAAAAAAAAAAAATTATTTTTTCTTATGAAATGGTAGAGAATCTTTTTGTGAAGGTAATAAAACAAAAAGTATAAAATTTGATGGAAAATTTATGAAATTATGCTCTCGTGAATTTTGATGTGTTAGCGATATTTACGAATCGGCGATTTTGCAGATTTTGACTCACATTTTAGGCCAATTACATTATTCCAGTCGACCAAATTCTTAGCGATTTCACTAGTATTACTTCTATTCTATCGATTGAGTACAAGAAATCGCCAGGTCAACTGTTTCAACTACAAAATAAAGTGATCGGAAATTGGTAATTTGGCCAATTTAACACAAAGTTCAAAATATTCCAATTTCAAAATAGGGTCCAGAATAAACAATGTAGATATTCCTGGCACTAAACTAACATTTCCTCTGTTCATTAGTTACGTTTTGAGGCTTTACAAATAAATTCCATTTTGATTTTTTATTCACATAATGAATTTTTATTCACACCAAAAAATAGATTTACCGTTATGCAATATTGTAATAATTGTATAAATATCATCACCACATTTGTGAATGTATATTAGACCCACCAGCTGGTGTGTATTAGACGTGTGAGGTCGTTTGTTTACTCTTGAACATCTGCAAAAATTTAACATTTCCGCTACTTTCAGCTCAGTTTCAAGCCATTTCTTGTGCTAAAACCAATCAAAATTATCTCTATTTTTGTAATATGTCTTCCATTCTATCAAATGAGACCAAGAAATCGCAAATACAACTATAAAAAACATATGAAAAAACACTGCAAAGTTGCTGTTTTAATCGAAAATCATGGTCTCAGTTTTTTCTCTCTCATTATACACAGTGTGCTGCAGGATTTGTTTTATGTGGTGCACACATACCACATAGATGTATTCTCTCTTATCTAGGCCCAAATGTACCACACAGTTTATCAGAGTGAGCTGAGCTCATGGCGTAGATCTACGGTTTGGACCCTGAACGCAAAGCCGTAGATCTACGGGACGGACCATGAAAGGGTTAAAGAACACAATATTGTACTTCCTCGTGCAGCCCATTCCAATCCCCTACCACCCTATTTAAAAGAAGTACTGTGCACTGCCTTTCTGGAATACAGTGGAATCTCCACTAACGAGTTTAATCCATTCCATGACCTTGCTCGCATCTGGATTTGCTCGTTTGCAGTCAATTTTCCTCATTTAAATTCATTGAAATACAATTGTAATTCGTTCCAGTGAAATTCCAGGCACCATAAAATACTTCAATAATTTTCCTAATATCAACTCTATGGCTTATTTATCTATCACAATTCATCTATTATGGCATAATAAACAATATTAATAACATAGAAACATGATGTATACACTAGAATGAACGAAATACGTATTACGTATGCGAGTAGTGTTAGTGGCTGCCATTGTTTTTGGGGCCACCATGGTGGCCATTCCTCCTGCTGACCTCATACCTTCCCCTGCTTTTATTATAACAGAAAACGGAGTGTTTGTAAGGCAAACTCCATTAGATCGTCCTTTTTCTATTACTCAATCGTTTAATTGCTACACTCTTAATGCTACACTCTTAACCCTTTGACTGTCGCGGCCATATATATACGTCTTACGAGGTACCGTATTTGACGTATATATACTCACAAATTCTAGCGGCTTCAAATCAAGAAGGAGAAAGCTGGTAGGCCCACATGTGAGAGAATGGGTCTGTATGGTCAGTGTGCACCATATAAAAAAAATCCTGGAGCACGCAGTACATAATAAAAAAAAAAACTCCGACCGTTTTTTTTAATTAAAATGCCGGCTTTGTGGTCTATTTTCGTATAGTATTTATGGTTGTATTCTCGCTTTCTTGGTCTCATTTGATAGAATGGAAAACATATTATAGAAGTAGAGGTGATTTTGATTGGTTTTACTATAAAAAGAACCTGGAAATGGAGTTGAAAGTAGGGGAAATGTTTGATTTTTGCTGATGTTTGAAAGTAAACAAATGATGTCATTGTCCAATACATATCCAACTAGCCATTCTAATATGCAGTCATGAATGAGTTGACATTATCTGTACAATTATTACAGTATTGCAGTAGTCTGCATAACAGTAAATCTTCTATTTTTTGTTTGAAAAAAAATAAAAAATAAAAAGAAAGAGTAATATCAGAGGGGCCTGGAGACATGACTGATGAACACAGAAAATGGTATTTTAGAGCTGGGAATGTCTGCATTGTTCATTCTGGACCTTATTTTGAAATTGTCATATTTTTTATTTTTTGCGAAATTGGCCAAATTGCAAATTTCTGACCACGTTATTGGGCAGTTGAAATCAGTAAATGGGCAGTTTCTTGTATTCAATTGATAGAAAAAACGGAGTTCTAAAGAAATAGCTATGAGTTTGGTCAACTGGAACAATGGAATTAGCCGAAAATAGGGCTCAAAGTGGGCGAAATCGCCGATTTGTAAATATAGCCGAGGTTGCTAACTTCGTGAGAGCGTAATTCCGTCAGTTTTCCATCAAATTTCATTTTTTTTGGTGTCAATACAATACGGAAAAGATTCTCTATCATTTCATAAGAAAAAAAAAAAAAATTTTTTAAATTTTGCGACATCAGGAGACACCTCAGGACTGGGGGTTGCAACAGTCAAGGGGTTAAAAAGAGAAACTTTTGTTTTTCTTTTTGGGCCACCTTGCCTCGGTGGGGTATGGCCGGTGTGTTGAAAGAAGAAAGATTATTACGTATAATTATATTATACATATTATTATTATTATTATTAGTAGTAGTAGTAGTAGTAGTAGTAGTAGTCGTGTATACGTATTCTTGTAATAATACTCTTGTTTATCATTTAGAATTTTTATTCACACAAAAAATAGAAGATTTACTGTTATACAGATTACTGCATTATTGTAATAATTGTATAAATAACGTCACCCATTCATGACTATGTATTGGAGTGGCCACTAGGACAGGTACTGGATGGTGATGTCATCTGTTTACTCTTGAACATCGGAAAAAATCAAACATTTCCACTACTTTGAGCTCAATTTCAAGGTACTTTTTGTTGTGAAAGCAATCAAGATCATATCTATTTCTGTAATATATCTTCCATTCTATCAAATGAGACCAAAAACACATGAATACAACCATGAAAACCCCAAGAAAATATACCGCTAAGGGCCGGCTAATGGCTGACAGGTGAACTCCGTTATTTACAGTCAGATTTCTTTCACTTTTGGTGTACTTTAAGAAGCATCTTTCCATCATACATTGCTCAAGTTTCAATAAGACAGTCCAAGATATGAGATCCAATTATTTAGCTCGAGCAAGAGCCCCTCACCAGCCCCTCACCCTTAAGGCCCGCTTGCATCTATAAATTTCTCTCGCGTATGGAAGCAAAAAATCGACCGAGCGGCTGCTCGTATCTGGAAAAACTAGCACGTGGATGCGCTCATTAGTGGAGGTTCCACTGTATACAGTTGAACTGTATACAGGTTCCACTGTATACAGTTCTTATTGTGCTTGGTGTGTTGGCTTGTGTTACAAATACAGGTTTTAGAATGTTATAATGCACACATTATTCTAATTCTCAACATAACATTTTTATGAAGTTTTTAAAAACATATACAGTGGACCTCCGGTTTTCATACTTAATCCATTCCAGAAAGTCGGTCTAAAACCAAAAAGTATGATGGACTGAATGATGACAAAAGTTTTTCTTTTTCGGGCCACCCTACCTTGGTGGGAATCGGCCGATGTGTTAATAAAAAAAAATTATAATTTTTAAAGTAGGTAGTAGGTTGGTAGACAGCAACCGCCCAGGGAGGCATTACCATCCTACCAAGTGAGTGTAAAATGAAAGTCTGTAATTGTTTTACAGGATGGTAGGATTGCTGGTGATTTTGTCTGTCTCATAAATATGCAAGATTACAGGTACGTCTTGCTACTTCTACTTACACTTAGGTCACACTACACATACATGTACAAGCATATATATACACACCCCTCTGGGTTTTCTTTTATTTTCTTTCTAGTTCTTGGTCTTGTTTATTTCCTCTTATCTCCACGGGGAAGTGGAACAGAATTCTTCCTCCATAAGCCATGCGTGTTGTAAGAGGTGACCAAAATGCCAGGAGCAAGGGGCTAGTAACCCCTTCTCCTGTATAAATTACAAAATTTTAAAAGAGAAACTTTCGTTTTTCTTTTTGGGCAACCCTGCCTCGGTGGGATATGACCAGTTTGCTGAAAAAAAAAATTAAAGAATAACTAATTTTACATACAGAAAACAATGAGGAATAAATATAAATGACTAATTTTAATGATAAATGAGCATTACATACATACCTTTATTGAAGACTCTTGTTGGCATATTGAAGGCGGCGAGGAGGGGAGAGGGAGTTGGGGTTATTGTTTGAAAGGGGAATCCCCCTCCATAAGGACTTTAGGTATCAAAGCCCTCTCTGGGGATCATTTATTTATTCATTTATTTATTTATTAATTTGAACATGATACAGTGAAGTACAAAGGAATACAGTTATTACAGTGCAACATGCCAAAGCCCCTTGTACGCAGAGCATTATGGGCAGGCTTAAAATTAACTTAAGATAAACTAAGCAACGATATGTTCAGTGGTAAAAACATTATTGTAAACAGATAACAATTTAGCACAAATGGGGTAGTAACCCCTTTTCCTGTAAAGATTACTAAAAAGAATAAGAAGAAGAAAATTGTCAAAGTGGG